TATCGCTGTAGAACGCTGTGCTAGCAATGCTGGTTAAGTGTGCCTTGAATTCTAAATAAATCACAGACAGTGTCACCAGCAAAGCACCCCCACACCATAACACCTCCTCCTCCATGCTTTACGGTGGGAAATACACATGCGGATATCATCCGTTCACCCACACTGTGTCTAACAAAGACATGGTGGTTGGAACCAAAAATCTCTAATTTGGACTCCAGACCAAAGGACACATGTCTGATGTCCATTGCTCGTGTTTCTTGGCCCAAACAGGTCTCTTCTTCTAATTGGTGTCCTTTAGTAGTGGTTTCTTTGCAGCAATTCGACCACGAAGGCCTGATTCACACAGTCCCTTCTGAACAGTTGATGTTGAGATGTGTCTGTTACTTGAACTCTGTGAAGCATTTATTTGGGCTGCAATTTCTGAGGCTGGTAACTCTAATGAACGTATCCTCTGCAGAAGAGGTAACTCTGGGTCTTCCATTCCTGTGGTGGTCCTTATGAGAGCCACTTTCATCATAGTGCTTGATGGTTTTTGTGACTGCACTTGAAGAAACTTTCAAAGTTCTTGATATTTTCCATATTGACTGACTTTCATGTCTTAAAGTAATGATGGACTGTCATTTCTCTTTGCTTATTTGAGCTGTTCTTGCCATAATATGGACTTGGTCTTTAACCAAATACATCTATCTTCTGTATACCCCCCTACCTTGTTACAACACAACTGATTGGCTGAACGCATTAAGAAGGAAAGAAATTCCACAAATTAAATGTTAACAAGGCACACCTGTTAATTGAAATGTATTCCAGGTGACTACCTCATGAAGCTGGTTGAGAGAATGCCAAGAGTGTGCAAAGCTGTCATCAAGGCAAACGGTGGCTACTTTGAATAATCTCAAATATAACATATATATATCTTTTATTTTTTTAAATTGGTTACTACATGATTCCATATGTGTTATTTCATAGTTTTGATGTCTTCACTATTATTCTACAATGTAGAAAATAGTAAAAATGAGTAGGTGTGTGCAAACTTTTGACTGGTACTGTATGTATTTTCTTGTTGTTGTATTTTACCCAAATTTTTCTCATTGCTGCAACTCCCCAACAGGTTCGGGGGGCGAAGGTTGAGCCATGCGTCCTCCGAAACATGACACACCAAATCACGCTTCTTAACACCTGCCCGCTTAACCCAGAAGCCAGCAGCACCAATTTGTCGGAGGAAACACCGTTCACCTGATGACGAGGTCGGCCTGCATGTGCCCGGCCTGCCACAAGGAGTCACTAGAGCGCGATGAGCGAAGTAAAGCCCCCCCCCCCCCGGCCAAACCCTCCCCTAACCCGGACGACGCTGGTCCAATTGTGCGCCGCCATGTGGGACTCCCGATCACGGCCGGTTGTGATACACCCCGGGATCGAACCTGGGTCTGTAGTGACGCCTTAGATCGCTGCGCCACTCGTGAGGCCCCGCTGCAGTGTTTTTCATGCTCAACAGTTTCCCGTGTGTATCAAGAACTCGGGTCTCCCGAGTGGCGCAGTGGTCTAAGGCACTGCATCGCAGTGCTAGCTGTGCCACTAGAGATCCTGGTTCGAATCCAGGCTCTGCTGTAGCCGGCCGCAACCGGGAGACCAATGGGGCGGCGCACAATTGGCCCAGCGTCGTCCAGGGTAGGGGAGGGAATGGGTAGGGAGGTAGCTCAGTTGATAGAGCATGGCGTTTGCAACGCCAGGGTTGTGGGTTCGAATCCATGTGGAATGCTTTCAACAACTTGTAGAGTCCATGCCCCAATTAATTGAGGCTGTTCTGAGGGCAGAAGGGGGTGAAACTCAATATTGGGAAGGTATTCCTAATGTTTTGTGCACTCAGTGTACATGTGGCCAGTGACCCATAACCCCATGTGAGAGTACCTCTAGTGGACAAAACAGGTTAAACATCATTAGACAGAAAACACATACACAGGCCAAAATATTTCCTACATATTAATTTTACTCAAAGCAAGACTGCTGTCAATGACTAAGTAACACTAGTTTTAAAAAAAGTAATAAAACATGATAAGCATATGTAATGCATATTTATATTATACAGCATTTCACAGCTTTGTTTTAAGGAGACAGTTTAGGCTCTGTCGCTGCACTCTCCTGGAAGTGCAGGTCCACATATTGCAGGATGTGGTCAACTGCACTGAGCAGAAGGATGTCTGTGTTCTCATCAATGTTCAGCACAGATGAGTAGTTCTTCAGTGGGATGATGTAGGCGGTGGACATGCCAAGCAGAGCCCCAATCTTGGTCATTTACACACACACGTGTGCATGCACAAACACACATGTGCACACACACACACACGTTTGTTTTACTATCCCAGTGGGACTAAATAATTTATTCCCATTCAAAATCCTATTTTCCCTAACCCCTAAACCTAAACCTAACCCTAACTCCTAAACCTAACCCTAAACCTAACCCTAAATCCTAAACCTTCCCCTAAACCTAACCCCTAACCCTAATTCTAACCCTAACCCTAACCCTAATTGTAACCCTAACCCTAAACCTAACCCCTAAGCCTAAAATAGTATTTTTCCTTGTGGGGACCTGAGGAATGTCCCCACTTGTCCGAATTTTCCTCGTTTTACTATCCTTCTGAGGATTTCTGGTCACCACAATGATAGTAAAACCAAAAACACACACACACAGTTATTAAATCATATACTTGGTTTTTTAGATTAAATGAAGCTCCTCTTTTGAACCATCTGATGGTGCTGTTGTATTGCAAACATTTATTCCGCTTGTGCTATATAGTGGGTGTAGGACGTGGCATACCGTGATTCTGCAATGCTGCTATATTTATTCAGTGGTGTTCAGTGGTCTTCCTGGATTTTGTTGTTGTTGCAAAACATAAAATTAGTTTTAAATGACCATTTCAGACTGATTTAGCTGTGTTTTCTGGACTATATGCATGTGTATACTACAGTATGATTATAGGGCAATGGCCAGGTTGATGTCACCAGGTTGTTCCACTGAGCCTTTACAACAATCAAGGCCGTCTTAGTGTGTCTGTGAAGCTGCATCATGTCTTATAAACATACTTATAAGCATACTGTACAAGGAATATAAAAAGTGCAGTTCAAACAAAAAGTATAGAGATTGGAATAAGATTACTAAATGTGACATGCCTGTGTTAGTGCTCTGTATATGTAATGCTCCATGGCACAGTCTTGTTTGCCACTTTTGAAAAGTAAACAGTTCTTTGTACATTGCAAACATAGTGACTTAGTGGTCAGTGGACCCTTCCTACAGTGGGGAAAAAAAGTATTTAGTCAGCCACCAATTGTGCAAGTTCTCCCACTTAAAAAGATGAGAGAGGCCTGTAATTTTCATCATAGGTACACGTCAACTATGACAGACAAAATGAGAAATAAAAATCCAAAAAATCACATTGTAGGATTTTTAATGAATTTATTTGCAAATTATGGTGGAAAATAAGTATTTGGTCAATAACAAAAGTTTCTCAATACTTTGTTATGTACCCTTTGTTGGCAATGACACAGGTCAAACGTTTTCTGTAAGTCTTCACAAGGTTTTCACACACTGTTGCTGGTATTTTGGCCCATTCCTCCATGCAGATCTCCTCTAGAGCAGTGATGTTTTGGGGCTGTCGCTGGGCAACACGGACTTTCAACTCCCTCCAAAGATTTTCTATGGGGTTGAGATCTGGAGACTGGCTAGGCCACTCCAGGACCTTGAAATGCTTCTTACGAAGCCACTCCTTCATTGCCCGGACGGTGTGTTTGGGATCATTGTCATGCTGAAAGACCTGCCACGTTTCATCTTCACTGCCCTTGCTGATGGAAGGAGGTTTTCACTAAAAATCTCACGATACATGGCCCCATTCATTCTTTCCTTTACACGGATCAGTCGTCCTGGTCCCTTTGCAGAAAAACAGCCCCAAAGCATGATGTTTCCACCCCCATGCTTCACAGTAGGTATGGTGTTCTTTGGATGCAACTCAGCATTCTTTGTCCTCCAAACACGACGAGTTTAGTTTTTACCAAAAAGTTCTATTTTGGTTTCATCTGACCATATGACATTCTCCCAATCCTCTTCTGGATCATCCAAATGCACTCTAGCATACTTCAGATGGGCCTGGACATGTACTGGCTTAAGCAGGGGGACACGTCTGGCACTGCAGGATTTGAGTCCCTGGCGGCGTAGTGTGTTACTGATGATAGGCTTTGTTACTTTGGTCCCAGCTCTCTGCAGGTCATTCACTAGGTCCCCCCGTGTGGTTCTGGGATTTTTGCTCACCGTTCTTGTGATCATTTTGACCCCACGGGGTGAGATCTTGCGTGGAGCCCCAGATCGAGGGAGATTATCAGTGGTCTTGTATGTCTTCCATTTCCTAATAATTGCTCCCACAGTTGATTTCTTCAAACCAAGCTGCTTACCTATTGCAGATTCAGTCTTCCCAGCCTGGTGCAGGTTTACAATTTTGTTTCTGGTGTCCTTTGACAGCTCTTTGGTCTTGGCCATAGTGGAGTTTGGAGTGTGACTGTTTGAGGTTGTGGACAGGTGTCTTTTATACTGATAACAAGTTCAAACAGGTGCCATTAATACAGGTAACGAGTGGAGGACAGAGGAGCCTCTTAAAGAAGAAGTTACAGGTCTGTGAGAGCCAGAAATCCTGCTTGTTTGTAGGTGACCAAATACTTATTTTCCACCATAATTTGCTAATAAATTCATTAAAAATCCTACAATGTGATTTTCTGGAAAAGAAATTCTCAATTTGTCTGTCATAGTTGACGTGTGCCTATGATGAAAATTACAGGCCTCTCTCATCTTTCTAAGTGGGAGAACTTGCACAATTGGTGGCTGACTAAATACTTTTTTCCCCCACTGTATACAGTATTTTTACTTTTGTTGTACTATAGAGAATGCAATCACTGTTTTAGAAAAGGTTTTCATTGAGATCATTGATTAGTACAGCTATGTACTGCATCTTGAACTGACAATGAACCATTTTTATACCCATGATTTTAATCTTGTTTGTTCTGCCACTGGCGGCATAGCCAGTCAGTCGTCGCAGTGGGACACGTTTGGAGATGCCAACAATGCCATTGACCTGAACTGGACCAATCGGTATCTGGAGGGGTCCTGTAACCACAAGAAAGCAGAGATCAACCCCTGGTGGCGGGTGGACCTGAGCAAGACCCACAATGTCACCTATGTCACCATTACCAACAGAGGGGACTGCTGCTCCGACAGGATCAGTGGAGCAGAAATCCACGTTGGGGACTCCCTGTTCAACAATGGCAATAGCAACCCACTGAGTTATCTTCATAACACAACTTCTGGCTGGCTACACAACCCACTATGTGTCATCCCAGTAACACAACTCTCCCTTAAACAATCCAATCATCTCCATAACTCATCATCATTAACTATGAGACTTTAACCAGACTTAAAGGGGTAATCTGCAATTGAAACAATAACAAACTGTTCTTCCAGCCCAGGGATGGGGCTAGACAAATGTAATCACTCTTAAATTCATAGACATAGCTATGGATGCAAGGACTGACCATCCATGATATCAAACTTATAGTTTGAACCATGTTATGAGGCTATATAGTTTGTTTACATTTACTTTATTTAAGAACATTGGATAAAACAAGATTATATTTTGGGTTCTGACGACAGTTGAACTAAGCTCATGAGGCATTTCTAAGTTATATTCTTCAAGAATCAATGTCCAAAAATAGATTTAGCAACTGCAGTTTGCCCCTTTAAGCTTTCAGGACACTCATCCCTGATCCCTTATTTTGAGCAAATACTGTTTGTCCCGCAATCATCTTATAACATATAACAATGCTCAACATTCCTATACCTGTAGGTGTGCTGGGATTCCATACATCCCTGCTGGGCAAACCAGGACATTTCCGTGCGGTGGGATGTTGGGGCGCTATGTCAACATTCTCCTCCCAGGAAAGAGAAGTACCTGACTATGTGTGAGGTGGATGTGCACGCAAGCACATTTCAGGCAGGTATGAGCTCCATCATTCTGAATGTACACCTTCTCCAGCAGATGCCTTTTTTTATTATTGTTTACGGATACAAATGTTTTACTCCACTCCCTTTCTCCCTGTCTCTCTCCTCCTTTTTGCAGCCCTGCCTTCAACTGCCCCCAAGACAGCTGTTACAGCTCCAAACCTAAACCTAGCCTGGCTGTTGGATCTTCTGAGATCCCTCAGAAGACCTGCTATTCTGAAAGGTCAGCTACTCCTACATCCAATCATACAGTACCCTCCAGGCTAAAATTGGGACCAGAAATCAGAAATCCTTAACCAGAAGCTTGGATTTTACACAATATTCCATACTCACTAAGTAATTTTTCTAAGCAAACCCCATCCCTCATATTTGAATGAAGGCAACATGGCACTGATGGACAGAGCGACCTAGTTGTCCAAGCTAAGCCGTCTGACCCACGCCGAGAACGCCATCGATGGTCGCCTGGACGCAGAGTACCTCTCTGGCTCCTGTGCCCACACCCGGCTCCAGAGCGACCCCTGATGGAGGGTGGACCTGCTGGCTGTTCACAGAGTCACATCCATTACCGTCACTAACAGAGAGGACTGCTGCCCCTGGAGGCTGGACGGGCGGAGTTTCTCATCGGAAGTTCCCTGAAGAACAACGGCAACAGTAACCCTCAGTGAGTAGGCTGAGCAAATATGTTTACAATAAACTACTGACAACTCAGTTCAACTAAAGGACTAGTACATGAAAAGCACAATATCAAGGGTGTGCAAAGCTGTCATCAAAGCAAAGGTGGCTACTTTGAAGAATCTCAAATATAAAATATATTTTGATTTGTTTAACACTTTTTTGGTTACTACATGATTCCATATGTATTATTTCATAGTTTTGATGTCTTCACTGTTATTCTACAATGTAGAAAATATTACAAATAAAGAAAAACCCTTGAATGAGTAGGTGTGTCCAAACGTTCGACTGATACTGTATATATTTGTTTTTTTAACCTAAAGACTGTAAAAACACCAGCAAATCAGCTCCAAGTGATTTTAGTTTTGGAAATCTGTTCCAAAGTATTCCCACGCATAATAGAGAGATATGTGACCATGTTCTAAGTAAGCATGGTTTGAAATGATTATGTTTTAATAAAATATCTGTTTGTACTTCTTGCGGTCAATTTGCAGTTTACAAATTATTTGTAATTATGTTCCGGCCCCCTGACCATCCGCTCCAGTAAAAATCGGCCCACATGTGAATCTAGTTGAAGATCCCCGTCTTAGAGACTTACCGAGAAAGACTGACTGCTGTAATCACTGCCAAAGGTGCTTCTACAAAGTATTGACTCAGGGGTTTGAATACTTAAGTAAATTAGATATTTATGTATGTCATTTTGAATACATTCGTTGAAATGTCAAAAAACATGTTTTCACTTTATCATTATGGGGTATGGGATAGAATAAATATTTTTAATCCATTTTGAATTCAGGCTGTAACACAACATGTGGAATATGTCAAGGGGTATGAATACTTTCTGAAGGCACTGTATTTCCCCCTAATTCTTATTGTGTGCCCCTCAGAGAATCTAGCCTCCGGTGGAGTAGCGGTCAATTCCTCCCAGTACGACAGCCACGGTGCTGCCAGGAATGCCATCGACAGGAAGCGTAACCCACTGTACCATGCTGGCTCCTGCAGCCACACGAAGGCAGAGACTAACCCCTGGTGGAGAGTGGACCTATTGGACACATACCAAGTCACCATCACCAACAGAGGGGACTGCTGTCTCCACAGGATCAACGGGGCTGAGATCAACATTGGAGACTCACTGGAGAACAACGGCACACGACCAATCCACTGTGAAAAAGATAAGATATGATTCATGAAGCCTTGGCTTAGCTGATCCACAGCGGTCATGTTTTGGAGATGTTGTGGCGAATTTACCGGTTTACATCAACGATTGCAGGTTTCATGATCAGGAAAAACCTCTGGCTGTATGCTCTAACTTACTGGTATGTGTGCTTTTCAGGTGTGCTGTGATCTCCGAGATGAGAGAAGGGCAGCCAATGGATTTTCCATGTAACATGGAGGGACACTATCTCACTATCTTTCTCCCAGGAAGAGAGAAGTACCTGACACTGTGTGAGGTTGAGGTGTATGGGGGGGAAAGAGATGACCCTAGCCAATCATAAATGACCCCTTTTACAGGAAAGTCCAAATAAGGCCAACATAATGTTACCATCTAACTGCATAACTACTACAGAATCACTTAATATTTTGGGAAGTGTGGAGAAAGTCACTCACTATTTCTTGTCATACCCAGTGGAACCTTTTTTCTTTGTGGGAGGCGGCCCCCATATTATAACCAAATTATAAACAGTCACGTTTGTATTCAGGTGTGTATTCTATTAATAAAGGCTTCTTACTGTGAATCCAGAAACCATTTAAATGAATGAAATATCAAATTCTTTCATAAATGATCAACCAGCACAAACTTTTACTCATTGGTTTGACTGTTAATCAAAAACAAGAGAAAGAAAGATGCTGATAAACATTTTATTTTCAAAATACAGATGAAATAGACAAGCATTAGACAAAGCTAGGCCTGTCACTAGAAATGTTGACGTCACTCAAATTGGTGATGTCAAAATATTTCAGGTTGTGTGGTCACCGCCCAACCACTAAAAACGGGCACTTTGCTTTCAAGATCACTTCAGTACCTTACAGTATATCTTGGACATAACAAAAAATAAAACCCCATAAGCACCTGCAGTGCTATTCGTGAACAGTCACAGAAATAGCAGAATACATTGAAATAAACTTCTAGCTTTCACCTTGCATTTAATTGAAACCGTTACTTGATACTATTACAATTGCTGAATGTTGTATTAAATGTATAAACATTAAACAAAGTCTTGAAGAGTAACTAACTATGCTTATTGCTAAAAAGCCTCACCTGTATTGGTGAGATGATTTTTACCCAACAATAGTGTAGCTTTTACACTGGAATGATTACACTGGGGTTGTTGTAAGTAACTTCAATGCCACACTGGTAAAAGGCAGAGTGAGTCACAGGGATTATGACAAGGACACTCCGGTTAAGCGGAGCTCCGGAGCACTCTCCTGTTTGACCCTTGACCTCATCAGAGTGGCAAAGGGACTTTCACAGTCACAAAAGGAGAAAGTGGTTTTAAGTGGGTAGAGCACACCAGTGCTATAGAGTGTAAAGTGGAGTCCACAGAGTGGCGTAGTCTTTCACAGCTATGGGGAAGTAACCGCAAGTGCGTTACAATTCAAATAATAAATTTAAAAAAGTGTTGAGTCATAATACATTGTCGAATTCGAATATGTTGCTGTTGTGACATGTGCAAAGGCCACTTTTTGAGGTGCAAAAAAGGCTACAAATTCATGACGTAACTTCCTGTGTGGTGGAGTACAAAGCAATGACGCTAAATTGGCACAATGACTAACAACTCCAAAAGATGCCTAATATTCTCTAGTGTTTTCTGTATGTCAATACAGGGTCCTAAACCACTGATATTTGGTGGTAGGTCATTACGCTAATGCTTAAAATAATGCACTGCTACAAGTTGCAATGGGTTGTTGGAAAAAATCAGTTTGCAGATGATTATATTCCGCTTCTCTTAAAGGTCATTTCAGGTGGGCTACATTAACCTGACACTTGCAGCTGTAACACCAGTAGTTATACTAACTACACTTTGCTTTGGCAAATAACACAATTATAAAACACACAGCAGTGGAAAAAAAATAACACTGTCTAAATACTGACAATTCTTAATATGCAAAAAAAGGGCATAAAAGTACGAAAACTAAATATGCCTGACATCCAAAATGTACTAATACACACTCAAATAAAATGAATTCAGTCTTTAAGAACAACTTTCAGTATAAGCTTGCATAAAACCAAATTAAATTAAATGCTTATACAACACAAGTGGGGACTCTAATCTAGCCCATCATATCAGTCCACTGTTCTAACAGAGCCTCAGAAAAGGGAGACGTAAAACGCAGCTGTGGCAGTGGTACCTCCAAAGGGAGACAGACCAACAGGAAAAGGAACTATATAAAAACACCACCAGGCCGGAGCCGGTGGAAATACTAGAAGGTAGCACCAAAAACAGGCCGACCCTGCTGTTATCTGAGGTCTTTAGCTGCTTTGGGAACTTTTAGGACTTTGTAAACGTTGTTGTGAAAGACGGTAGTAAAGTGGGGCCTGGAGTCCCTGGACATGAGCGTACAGAGGGGGACTTTCCCAGCGTTCTGAGGGTCCTCCACGTCCCAGATCTCAGGCATACTGCAGCCAGGCCTGGGGAGAGCACAGAGAAAGCCAGGAAGGGAGAAAGAGGGGGGCAGAGAAAGAGAAAATATTTCAGCAAAGAAACAAACTAAACAAAAACATTGTGTGATTGATTGGCTGCGAAACAGACTGTTCAAAAGGTCACTTTGCAGCAGAATTGGGTTCAGTTCAATTCAGAGTCATTTCAGAGTGAGTTGGAAAAATGCCCTGCACTGACAGGAATTACTTGTTGACAATGTCACAAGAGCATATGACAGTGTAAACAGCAGTGGGTTACTGACGGGAAGGCCACCCAGGGTTACCTGGAGCGCCGGGTGCACCACGAGTCCTCCAGGACGAAGTAGTCCACCTCCAGCTGCATCAGGTTCCTCTTCACCACCTCGGCAGACTTGCGGCTGTACATGGCGTACACCAGCTTGGTCCTCTCTCTGAGTGGAACAGACCACAACAACGTTTAGACAACGCTGAATTGGTTGTTAGCCTGGCACATAACATTGATACTACTGTACTAGCTATGTCCACACCTCAGTCCAGCGTCCTCGTAGTGTGGGTGGTTGACGATGGGCCGGCCGGCTGACAGCTTCACACTAGCCATGGTGGGCATGGCTCCAGCAAACACAGCGTCTGCACCACACACAAAACAAAACATCTAAGAGAAGAGTCCACAAAGGCATGGGTCATGATCACTGATCTGAAAGGGACTGGATCCATGAAAGTGAGGTTACCAGCCAATTGCTTTCACCAATCCAACCTAGTCAGATCAGTCAATTCCATAATGAAGGACACCATTTAGAATGATTTAAACTATTATTTTGTTTTGAGCGCCAGGGGCTTTGGTTTCAGGCGTAGGATGATGACATCACTCACTGGGCCGGGTGCTGTCTTTGATCCAGTCCAGCAGCTGCTCCTGGGGTAGGTTGCTGAATTCTCCCATGATGCCCCACTGGGCCTGCAGGTTGGCCGCCCCTTGCATGGCCATGATGGACAGGATGCCAAACACCATCATGTGGAGCTTGAACTTCTCCCCTATCCAGCCAAACAACTGACACACAGACAGACAACACATGAGCAAGGTCTGTGGTGGTAGTGGTGTTGTGATCTATCTTTGGTACCGTTATGTACTCTGTGGTATCTGTGTGGTGTCAGTGCTAATTGTGTTGTGGTGTGTTGAATCTCATTGAGTCGCGTTGAGTCGTGTTGTGTTGAGTCCTGTTGTGTTGAGTCGTGTTGCATTGAGTGGTGTCGTGTCATGTTGAGTGGTGTTGTGTTGAGTCGAGTCAGGGACTGACCTGTTTGGAGCAGATCAAGGAGGCCATGATGCACATGTGGGGCGTGAGGAAGAGCTTGAGACGCATGATGAGCATCGCCAGCACTGCAAAGGCTATCAACTGTAGGCTGTGGTACACCAGCTGAGACCATGACAGAGAAAGAGAGAGAAACAGAGAGAGAGAGAGAGAGAGATTAAGAGCCCAGGTAGAGAATGAGGGTTTAAGGCCACAGGGAGTGAACAAGATTGGGGGAGGGATGGATGGAGGAAGCGAGAGAAAGAAATGGTTTGAGCTAGAACTGGTAATAAAGCGAGAACAATTTAACTGGCAGGAGAAAATTGCCTCTGTATGCAGGTAATGAAAATCACTTAGAAGATCATTACTATTATAGCTGAAGCAGATTAACATTACCGCATTTAAGAAAAAAGAAGGCTTGAATCATATGACATGATGAGACAGCAGTAACATTCAGGGAAATCAGGATGCTTGCTTACCTCTCCTTTTGCTAACATTTCTGGCCTGTGAAAAATTTGAAAAAGTTGTCAAAATGTCAAGTTGTGTTGTCTTTATAAGAATGAACGGGCAAAATGCACACAGGTTTGCCTTTTGACTTGTGCTGTTAAGAGGGTGAGTTTTACAACAGAGAGAGGACAGAGGGAAAGATACTCACTCTTCGTCGTCGTCGTCGTCATCAGGTTTGACAGAATACTTCTCTCCTTCCCTCAGGAACCTCACAACATCCTGGATCGTCTGTACAGAGTAGGAGAATGGACAAACAGTGTCACAAATAAAAAAGGCAAACCTCAGAAGGGATATAACGTTGACCAGGATGACTCCGCCTTCTATTATATGCTAACAGCGAGCATACTCACAGCAAATATCAAACAATTAACCATTTCAATTTTTACCAGTTAAGCCACATCAGGCCAGTCCGCTCATTATCGCTCAGCGCTCAACGCAGTTTGCATCGCGCTCCACTCAAATCGCCCCCCGCTCACTCCAAAAAAGGAACAAAATCTGCATGTATTTCACTTTTAGCTTAAACCACAGCCTTACTTTATCTCCCCGAATTTGTTGCATACAGACTCATCTCGGATTATCCATTCTGTCTTGAAACGGGGATCTAACACTGACGCTAAAATGAGATGTTAATCAGTATAGTATATTCCATAGCGAATTGACACGTTGTTTGCCAATGTTTCTGCAAAAGCAGCGATGCCCATTGGAAGTGCAGCGTGAGTGTAATCGGTGAGCAGGGATTTGATTTCTGTGACAGCAGGGAGGATCATCCCCAGGTTCCCCAGCTCCTTCTGCATTTTGTCTGTGAGGTCTGCTAGTGGTGTCAGCACACTGACAAGGTGCGTCAGCTGCCGTACTTGATTCAGGGTGATGTTAGCAACATTAGACTTGAGTTTGTTTTACCATAACGGGTCTTTTTGGAACAACCGGATGAACGACTGAATCATCCGCAGCTGGCTGCTCCATCGAATGGCGCAGGCATTTGTGGGGCGGACACCTAATTGGTCGGTTTCCTCTGTGCTCTTGCGTACACTTTTCACCAGGTGCCCGACTTTCACTAACAGCCTATTAATGTTGTCGTGCTTGTTAACGGCGTTTTTGATCGCCAGCTGAAGCATGTGAATGGGGCATCTCAGATGTAAATTTGACAAAGTAAAGTACTGATTTATCATAGTTTCTTGGGGGAGTGTAGCCCGGTTGAGCTGCGCTGGCGAAGTGTTGCATCCCTTCGCGTTCTCCTTTACTCAGCGGTTCATAGTCCATGAAAATCATTTCAAAAAATGCTACATCCAGCTCTCTTTTTCTCTCCCTTGTTATGGTTGGGCCTTTGCGTGCAAACTTTTGAATTCCTCAACCCTTTTCTCTTGTTGCTGCTGCTGCTCCTCTCGCTCTATAAAATCACTATTTAGAAGGCCTCCAGTTCTTCACTTGCAAAGCAAGTCAAGCAGAATAAAAAATGGCACTTGTCATTTTTTGTGACAGTTTTTATTTAGTTGTACGCCTTTTTCTCCCCAATAGGTAGTTACTGTTGTCCCATCGCTGCAACTCCTGTACGGTCGAGAGCCATGCATCCTCCGAAACACGACCCTGTCAAGCCGCACTGCTTCTTGACACACTACTCGCTTAACCCGGAAGCCAGCCACACCAATGTGTCGGAGGAAGCACCGTACAACCGGCGACCGTGTCAGCGTGCATGCTCCCGGCCCAACACAGGAGTCGCTAGAGCGCCATGGGACAAGGACATCCCGGCCGGCCAAACCCTCCCCTAACCCGGACGACGCTGTGCAAATTGTGCGTCGCCTCATGGGTCTCCCGGTCGCAGCCTGGGATCGAACCCGGATCTGTAGTGACGCCTCAAACACTGCAGTGCCTTAGACCGCTGCGCCACTCTGTGTTATTGATTCTGCATTGACACACAATTAGATCAAACGGACACATTTGGACACGCTCGAGGAGATTCTTGAATATTTTTGGAACATAATTCTCTTGCCGTTTCCTTCAAGCCTGCCTCAAATATGACAAACTGAGCTCAACAGGCATGTCAAAAGCAGAACGGGAGAAATGACATTTCAAGGATGCCTGCCTTGTTCTCTAACAGTGGATTGTGTGGAGTGCCTGGTGTATGGTACACAAATGAAGTCTTACCCGTCCTGCTATGACAGCAACCACCAGCATGTTGATGGGAAGCAGCAGTGTCTTGATGTAGCGCAGTGGGGTCTGAGAAGAGCAATGTTACACACATCATATCGACTGGAGAAAAACATTTATTTCTGACACACACACACACACTACATGACCTTTACAAAATTAGTTGCCAAATACTATGAAAGGATCCCTTCTAACACTAGTACCATGTTGCTTTGCCAAATATGGCCAATAGTGTCTTTCATACCTCAATTTCCATGAAGTCAAACTCAGCAGCACAGGTATACATCATGGTGTCAAAGTCCTTGTAGCTGGTGAACTTGGACTTTATTAAGCTACTGATGTGAGCCTGGGAGAGAGAAATTGTTGTAAAAATAGCTGCAATTTCAAATAGTTTGCATATTCCTATTTACTTGTATTACTATCATACTTCTGAGTGACGGCTTGTTTCAAAATGCACAGTGATTCTTCCAGAAAAGGGCACCAAAATGTAAGGCAATATAGCTAGGTTGTTTCAAATGCACAATACTATTTTGAAAGACTTACATCATCAGAGGCTCCAAAGATGGCTGACAGCATGAACTTGAGAATGACCGTGGAGACGACCCATACCAGGCCCTGCATGACCTGAGAGCAGACAGACAGGTCAACCAGGAAACACACACGTGCCCTCGCACATACACAGTCTTGTTTTACTAAGCTTGTGGGGACACACAATTGATTCCCATTCAAAATCTTATTTTTCCTAACCCCAAAACCTAACCTTAACCCTTAACACTAATTCTAACCCTAAACCCCCTAGAAATAGCCTTTTTCCTTCTGGGGAAAAGGTCCCCAGTTTTTGTTTGTTTAACATTCTTGTGGGGACTTCTGGTCCCCACAAGTAAAGTTAAACATGTTCACACACACTTATGTGCTCTTACCCATGTGATGAGGCCAGGTTTGAAGGCTTCTGCAAATTTGTCCCGCAGGGTGATTATTCCCTGCAACCAGGAAGGAACTGATTTCTACACCATACCATTTTCAACATCACACCATGCTTAACATAAGACACATCCTCTACACATTGAAAGCATGAGGAGAGTGCTAGTCCAGCTCACCCAGATGGATACCAGCGAGGAGGCGTAGAATGATGTCAGCAGCATGGAGTTCCCGAACATCAGAACAAAGCACACAGCAAGTGTGATCTGGAGATGGAATCGGGTGCAAAGAAGTTTGGTGACATAGTCCGAGTCGATATTCACGTAATAATAAGGAATTCCCCTCGACCACACCCACAAATTGGGGAAAATAAACATCATTTCCCATTGACCCCCGGGGTAAAAGAGACAACTTCGTCATAGATTTTTTGTATACAGAAATAAATAAAAAAATGCAGAAAAGCTGCTGTGTTGCTCATTATACATGTAACCAGGTCAAAAATCCCGACCTACGGTTCGCAATGCTTCCAGGTAGGGAAATAGAGCGAGAAGAGCCCTATGGCTTCAGGCTATTCAGTGTGGGAAATGTGGGGACCCAGTGTCCAAGTAAGCGACACATAGCTACAGTATGTGTGTGGAAAACATTTCATCACAGGTAAGACATTTAACTTGTTTAGTAGAGTATTTTTGAAGCCTTCAGTCACCGTCTTAATGCTACTATTTGTAGCTGCATAGTCCGTTATAGTCTGTTTGTTTGTGTTGTTGGTCTTGGCTAGCTTAATGTTCTGGTCGGTAGCCGGTCAGTAGCACTCATGTGGCTGCTAGCACTGTCATGAAAACAGACATGAGGGAAGCTCTACAATATTATGTGTTTCTAAGTAGTGAGAACACTCGGGAGCAGGCAATGTTGAAAAGTCATCTTTAGACATAATGTGCTTTTCTTAAATGTAGTTTTGTAATTGACTAAAACAGGTTGACAACAAGGAAATTGCATTTGAAAAAGGTTACATTTTTGCTGTGAGCCAATGGGGTAACCTAAGTAACCACAGGTTGTTTTCCCCACAGGTGGGCAGGGCTGCGACGTTCTATCGAATACCGACTGGGACTATGAAAAGAGTGTGTGAATTATTTTTTTTTTTTTTACTGTTGTCATGGCACACAGACACACCAAACTTGTTTCAGCCAAAGTGGGCTTAACAATGCTGTAGGTCGTCGAGGACACAAGCCTGTGTGTGTCCCCGTTTTCTTCACGCTGCCACTTCTTGCCAGGCAGATGAATTATTCACAGCCATATGTCCTCTTTCTTCTCTCCTCCTCCAATGACACAAATCTCAGCATCATCTTAATACAAAGGGATTCTTCTCTTATCTCCCCAGCACACTGGCCCCAGCCCGCTATGCTAGCCACGCTAACAGCCTGTGTTGCTGAGACGATTAGGAGAGCTGGAACTGTGGTGGAGGAGTAACGTAGCTACGGCCAGAATCACACACACAGATAAACACACTCCTTGGCAGAACGCACAGCCCTGTTTTACGATGCACGGCCACGAGTACAGGTTAGTTAGGAACCAGAAAATCCATTTACCATGTGTGTCACTAGGAGGGACTGCATTTTGGTGGGGCTGATGTATCCCAGGATGTACGAGGCAAAGAGAGAGGCCACCTGAAACAAGTACTCAAACGTGTAAACACAAGCAATAAGTAGTGTCTACAACACAACAGTGAAAGGGTGCATGCTTACTTTCGACGACAATACACATTGTAAGTAAGCATTTCACGGTAAGGTGAATGTATTCGGCGCATGTGACAAATACAATTTGATTTGATGTAATAAGTACTTAGATTACAGTGTGTTGTAAAATCCCCATATAGAAGGATCTGATTAGGATAGGGAACTGTAGCTAGCTGAGGGATACTTGATAGCAAAGCTGTTGCTAAGCAAAGATGCCAGCAGATCCCATTAGTGTGAAAGACTAACCTTTGACGCTTTTGTCTGCTTCCCCTCCAGAGTCTATTTGTCTCCATCTGTCTCACACCCTCCCTCCTTTTTCAGTCTGTTGCTTTTTTTGTTATCCTCTTCTCCATTTCTTACAATGTCCCTTTACCGGTCTACTCTTCTCCCTTTCTCTCTCTCTCAATCTCTCTTTCTCCTGGCTCAGTCTCTTTTTCTCACAGCGTCCCTTCGCTCTATCCCTCTCAGTCTTCCTCTTCTCCACCCCTCTCACAGCCTCCACCTTTCCCTATGTTTCTCTCTTACCTGGGTTAGCAGCACAAACTGGGCAAACTGCCAGGGAAGCATGAAGCACAAATTGGAGATGCCCAGCGCCCACATGGCCTTTCTGCTGGGGTTGCGTGTCCTTTGGAGAGATAGATGTGGAAAAGGGCAGGAGGCGAGAGGTAAGGAAATCCATTAACACAGGCACACACTAACACTCCCATTCAGGCTGCCTCTAGATAGAATGTATCAGTCACCAAACCATCCACTCACACTGACAGCTTTAGAGAAGAAGTTAACATGGTCAAATAGCAAACACTGACTCCATGTGAACAATGCGGGAACGGAACCAACAACCTTGGTATTACCAACACCAAGCTTTACAAATCAGATATCTGGACCACAATGAATTGAGATCATAACAATTGCAGAGCACTCAATATCCTCTACATCAGTGGTTCTCAACTGGTTTTTCCTCAGACCCAAATTGAACTAGGTTGTCTCAGTCGCGACCCAATATTCGTATCGCGAAAAAGAATCGCCAAAATACAATCTTGAAAAAAAAAGGAATGGTATATTGATAGTTAATATAGCAATTATATGACAAGGGAACAACATTCCCAGCTACCTCGTTCATTGTCAATAATTACATTTTGCCCATATTCTTGATGAAAAATGTTAATAAAGTCACCTCACTGGCTTGAGACCACAAAATCAACCAAAATAGTGCTGCTAATAGCTCTATATTGAAAATACTGTGATTTAAGAAAAAAAATTCAAGGATGAAATTATTAAAATATGTAAGTACATTATCATTTCTACACACTTTCTACCTGGTTTAGTTCAGACTGGAGTATTTTTTATTTAAAAAAAACAAACATTACTCGTCCCATCAAAAAGCTTCCGCGACCAAACTTTGGGTCGCAACCCACCAGTTGAGAATCGCTGCTCTACATTCCATATCACGAGGCAGCCAGAGAGTATTGATCAGAGAAGGAGAGAGAAAGGAAGGAGAAAGGAGCGGAAGGAGGGATTGTGAGTTACCGGAGGATGTGGGTGAGCAGTAACATCTGCAGGACCAGGAAGGGATAGGAGAAGCTCTCCCTCAGGGGCGGAGTCCACATGACCCGGGTGCTCTGGGACACAGAAACACACACACACACAAACAAACAACACACAATCCCACTTTATTTTGCGACAACACATTGTTGCGTAGGAGGGGATTTTCTGTACCGCTACGCAATCAATCAATGACAACTGTGAAAAGCTATTTGTACATAAAGATGCATCCAGTAATCTCATCCAGTACATTTAGTCATCATCCTACAACCCACACTGCACCAATGCTCCTATAATAATGATGCGGATACATTCACACTTCTGCGTTGAAACCAGCACAGACTGAGAAGGCCAAGGAGACAAGTGGGTGGGGACTGGGGAGAGGAGACAGGAGAGCTGAGAGTATGATTGAAATGTCAGTATCTATTGGTGTGAAGAATACAATAGAGAAACCACTCAGCCCATCTGATACTGGCTGAGACAGAGCTCCTTTTGATGGCTGCCTGCATTGTATCCATCCCCCATCTCCACCTTCACCAGTCTACCTCCACGGTCCTGTACGATACACACTCACCTCTCCATGGTTGAAGAAGAAACACAGCACCGTGACCATGCCCCCAAGCCGACTGCCACTAGAGAGAGGAAGGGAGGGAGATAAATGTTTTCTTATTTGATCAGTCTTTGTTAGAACATTAAACTGACTAAATGACTTTAAAGTCCTAATCTGAACCCTAACCGATGCAGAATCAAAGGAGGGTAAAGGTTAAGTTACCTGAGGTAGGTCCCGTAGATGAAGAACAGACTCATCATCAGACCGTTGAGGAGGAACACAAAGGTCACGTAGAAGTAGGCGGGGTCACCCATACCTGACACACACACAGATAGAGAGACTATTAGGATTGAGACTGGCAATGGCAAGGACCTTGGATAGCCAAATACCATAACTTCAAAGCACTGATTCTCATGCCCAGGGATTCTATTACATTACTATATGTTCTTCTATGGCCATGACCTGAAGTCCTGGACAAAAATGAGTGAGAATATTGTTTGCTTGTCATATTACTGTCCCAAACAAATTACCTTACTTTTAGAACATGTTTAGTCAACTGATGGAATGCCTCAAAATAAGATGTTTGAAGCATGATGGAATATTGATTGATTGACACCTGACACATGGCACGCTCATAGTGAAAGACAGGCCTAATGGAAACCTTGAAGCCTTCAGTCGCCGTCTTAATGCTTTCCTGAAGTGAGAGGCTTTCTTTCATTTTACTACCATAGAACTGCTGAGGATAAAGGGCTATTCTGAGTCTGTTCTAATTTGCTGTGCACTCAGCTAGTGGAAACAGGAACAAAAGGCAGGCGGCACTTACATGTACAGCAGCACCTTCAAACTACATAGAGTGTGCTTTCACAGAATTCACACCTTAATTAGAAAGAAGTGTAACTTGCACCAGTCTTAACTATATGCCTATATGTATGTATGTATATATATATATATATATATATATATATATATATATATATATATATATATATATATATATATATATATATATATATATATATATATATATATATATATATATATATATATAACACTGAGAAGTACCATGTCCACGCATATAACATGCTATGGAGTGCTAATAAGAAGTCAAGAGAACAGTTCAACAAGTAGAAAAGGGGAACAACCTCCCCTCACAAAACACCTCCCCCATATTCATAGATTTCATTGAAGTTGGCCCTGATAAATGTGTTTTGTGAAATAAGAAAAAGCTTTTCCTTTCTGCAGCAGCTCAATAAAAATGCAACGAAAGCAAGAAATAGCCTAATGGATTGCAATTATTCATAAGCTAAGCAACTGTATGGTATTCCTATGGGAGACACAGATCTATATTTTCCTGAAATTAACTGGTATTCAGTCAAACTTGCACATTTGGAAAGCCACGATTCAGAAAAATAACATTGATCCAGTGCAGTGGAATATATTGTGCTACTTGAAAGTATGTGAACCCTACAGGGCTGGTCATTGTTTTGCTATAAAATAGTAAAATAAACATAAATTCCTTATCTAAACCCCAATTCGTAATAAAATACATTCCAAGTAAATGACAGAAGAAAAAAAAAAGATATATTTTCATTGTTTATTTAACAATGTGGTTTATTTAACAGAAACTCAGATTTGATGTGTGCATAAATGTGAACCCCTTCAGTCAATAGCTTGTGGCACCTCCATTAGCAGCAATAACTTGGACTAAACATCTCCTATAGCCAGTAATCAGTCTCTGACATCTGTTTTGAGGGATTTTTGCCCACTCCTCCTTACAGAACTCAGCCAATTGAGTGAGGTTTGAGGGGTGTCTGGCATGAACTGCCCGCTTTAGGTCCTGCCACAGCATCTCGATTGGATTTAGGTCAGGACTTTGACTTGGCCAATCCAAAACACAAATCTTCTTTCTCCTGAGCCATTCTTTGGTAGACTTGCTTGAACGCTTTGGGTCGTTGTCTTGTTGGAAGACCCATTTTCGGCCCAGCTTTAGCTCCTTGACTGATGCCCTGACGTTCTGTTCAATAATCTCCTGGTATACCTCAGAATTCATGGTTCCCTTAATGATGTGGAGTTGTCCAGGTCCAGAGGAGGAAAAGCAGCCCCAGATCTTGACATTTCCACCACCATGCTTGACTGTTGGGATAAGGTTATTTTGGTGGTAGGCAGTGTTGGGTTTTCACCAAACATAGCAGTGTTGATTGTGACCAAAAACGTCAATTTTGGACTCATCGGTCCAGAGAATGGACTACCAGAAATCTTCAGGTTTGTCCAGGTGGTCTCTGGCAAAGTTAAGATGGGCAATTTGGTTCTTTTTTGACAGCAGAGGCTTCTTCCTAGCAACCCTCGATTCAGTGTTCTTCTTGTTGAAGCATGCACAGTTACCTGAGATGCAGCAAGGGAGGTCTGCAAATCTCTAGATGTTATGTTTGGATGGCTTTTGCCTGATTTATTATTGTTCTTGTAGCTCTTGGGGATATTTTGGAAGGGCGTCCACTTTTAGGCTGAGTTGCTGTCATGTTAAATGCTCTCCATTTGTACATTATTTGCCTCACAGTGGACTGATGGAGCTCAAATATTTTTTTGATGATTTTATAGCCTTCCCCAGACTGATGTCCTCTGAGATCTCCTTTCCTATCGGCATGGTGTGCTTTGCATTCACCTGGATGGGTAACACCAAACTGACCAGGTTTCTTATCTCTATTTATCAGAGTCCCGCCCAAACTCTTTGCTAACGATCTCTCCTTTGATTGGTTCATTTGGTAGATAATTATTTACCCACCTGATTCTACTTACCTACTTGATTTAACCAATGCAACTTAATTCACTTATTTTTGCACCTGCACTAATTCCTTTTTAAATGTTGTTTTTCTACTACTCATGATTTCCTCTACACCAACATATGGTATTGGTAAATATAAACCTGTTATGTCAGATCAAAAAGACTGGTTCTGATTAAATTAAGATTTGATGGTAAAAACTGAAAGAATCTGTAATTGCACAAGGGGTTCACATACTTTCAAGTAGCACTGCATATGTTGAATTAAAATCTAACAGTTTGGCTTTGTGTCATCAAGCAGTCCTCTCTCTACAGAGTGGAACACTGGCGTTATGCCAACTTTCAATTTCATATGCAGCAATAATGAGTTTTTTTACAACTAATATTTCAGATGAACCACTTCAGCTGGATGGCACAGGAATAACACTTGTTTTCTTTATTATTTCCCATAGTGCTGGTTCGATTGCGTCCGGCCTAGCGAGTTGTGTGTCTGTGTGTGTTCAGGTCAAACAAGACTGCATTGGTACCTTCACAGCCGTCCACTGCAGCCATACCCTCTCCTCTATTGATGGACCAACACATCTTGGTGGGGAGTCCAAAGAATTCCATTATATCTGTGTAGATTCTGTACCAGCTGGCCAGGACAACCTAGAGAGCAGTGGAGGAAGGATTTCAGCATGAAGACCCTCAACAAAGTCTGTTGTCCAATTAAATGCCAAGGATGTCCATTTCCACAAATGTTACCTCTGGATAGAGATTGAACCTTTTCAGTGTGTTTATAACCAGTGGGTACTCTGTAAGCCGATCGTTCATGACCAGATACAGGCCGTTGAGAAAAGTTGGGGCCTCAATGATGGTCTTGAAGTAGGAGTAGTATAAGCCCTAGAACAGGATCATATAACAAATTGATTAAATTCCCACATAAAAGCCCTGATCAGGTATTGGCTCATGGCCTGCTACAGAAACAAGGCTCTAAGATTTTGCAAGACACCTTATCAAACACAATCATATAGAATAGGTCATCATTATTTAATTCGTTTCTTCTTCTGTCATCTTTCAACAACACAAGACTTACCATTTCTGTCCGAAATGCCATTTCCTTTTCCAGTCCTGACAGATGTGAGAAGTGTCTGTCATTCTCAAAGAGGCGTGAGAGATGGTACCTACACAAACAACAAATAGGCTTTAGGGATATCTAGTTAGCTAGCTAACGTTAGTTATCTACAATCAATGTACACAGGACACATTCAAGACTTTGAAGTACATGTCAATGACCTGAACTGTTGTTAGACACGAGGTTAGCTACTTACCAATGTAAATACCCAGTCAGAGCAGCTATGAAGAAGAGACAGAGAAACAGATAAATATAACTAGTTAATGATATTAGGAAAGTTGTGGGGTTTAATCATGGTTCTATTATGAGTTAGCTAACTAGTTAATAATATAATTACCGTTAACTAACTACAGTAACGTTAAATTGGCTAGCATAATTTGATAGCCACCAATGACCATGGCACAGCCTGGGATAGCAACCTCAGAAACGTTAGCTGTCGTTGTGGTTGTGCACTGTGAGCTAGCATTAGCTAGCAAACTAGCGTACGCTACAGTTTGCTAGCTAACGTAAGCTAACAGCTACGTTAGCAACATAGTTACAGTACTTGTAGCTAACTAGCTAGCTACTGTAGATGTGTTGTTGTGTGACACTTACCAAGAACCAGAGTGATTCCAAGTTTCACAAAAGCAGACGGAGTAAGGCCAAGCTTACTTCTGATTAATGAAAACCCAGGAAATAGTCCATTCTTATTGTGAAGCAAGCTGTTGAAAGAGGTTCCTTTGCCTGATCGTCTACTTTTCCCGGTTCCTGGCGATACAAGCGGACTCCTGTCTCTGTCGTTGACGTTGGCCTGCGGCGGTTGATCCTTCACGTTTTGTTTTCTAGTTTTTACGACCATATTTTCATAATCGTAAGTCTTCGGCTGTGAAAGACGTTTTGTATAAGTAACTGGATGGGTAGCTTCTATCCACCGCTCAGGGTCTACACCTTTTGCTTGCTACCTGAGTGATGCTGTGTTCACTGCACAAATCTTTGAAATGTTCGCCCCCAACTGGAGTTAATACAGACTGCATGCGTTAGTAACCATGGTAACGCAAATGTCAGTTTGTAGTTGGAACACTTCAGTTCAAAATGTAGTTTTTCTAACGTAAATAGAATCCTAATGCTACAGTGGCACATACCAGCAGAATCCCTGCTGGCAGACTCAAGACCTCTCTCTCTCTCTCTTTCGCTTTCTTTCTTTTCTACTTCGATGAGGTTTAACGGCCATTGGCATCCAATAAATGTTGCATATACTGCCACCTACTAGACTGGAGTATAACTCCCTTACACTTCGCTTTAATTTTTAAAAAATACAATCATCTAACACTACACTCACAAAAAAGTATAATAATAACTACCATACTCCACTATTTAAATCTATTTATTCCTACTTCAAGCCAACAGCCTGAAAGGATAGGACACCACCACTTAACACACCCTGTAACTCTTCTGATGTCAAGTCTCGCACACCCAAATAACTCTCTGCATCTGCCACCACAACCTCTATTTTCTGCGACTTACATTCCATCCCTGCAGTACAGTTGATAACCATTGTTATAATTGCCAAAAATCCAATCTTACTGAAACATATATCACTTTTTGGTTTATCCCTCTGTACTGGTACAGATCTACTAATCACACCACTCCTTTCAGGATCCCACCCACTTGACCCATCTTCCTCTACTTTCTTCACTGCCTCAGTATATGACAACTTCTGCACTACTCTAACCCTGGAAACCTCAACCTGCCTCTCTCGCACCGGACATTTCGGATCCCCAGCCCCATGGGCACCCCTACAATTAACACATACCACTACTTTCCCCAATGCTACACATTCCTTTGTCTCATGCCCTATCTGCACACTTCTTTGGAACCTCCCTCCTACACACTGCTGCCACATGCCTATAAGATTGACACCTGTAACAACGTAATGTATTCAGCACAAAAGCTCGTACTGGATAACTTATATATCCTAACATCACTTTGTCGGGCAAAACTCAAAAGAACAGACAATGACTCTTCTGTTTCTCCACTCACGCCACCCTGTCTGCGTTGCACCAAATGACGAGCATCACAGACACCGGGAATCTTCCCCTTCAGTTGGTCAGCTTTCACATTTACCGCTAACCTAGTAATCACGCCTTTCAATGGCACCCTTTTCTTGAGAGCAAAACAATTCACATCTCTTGCCCCCATTCGTTCAACACGGAGCTCTTGCTCCCTCTGACCAGCAGAAACACAAACAATTATCACTAGACCACTTCTGGTTACCCTCACCGATTCCACAGCACCCAACTCTGTTTTCACCCACCCTGAAACCACAAATTGATCAGCCAAATGGCAAGGGTCCACTTTCTCCAAAAACTTCACTCCTACTGTCACAGACTCATCTTTATCCTGACCCTCGGTGCAAGCCTCGGGCTCCGAGAACTTCACCACACCGACCACCTCCGATACATCGCCCTCATTCACTTCCATTTCTCCTCCTGTCTTCAACTCACTCTGCTTACACTTTCTACCATTCTTCTTTAACAAACCATCTCCCTTTTTTACGCCATTTTTAACTGACTCAAGCTCACCCTCTTCCTCCCTCTCTCTCTTAGACCTCCTTTGCCTCTCTTTTTCCCTCCATTCTTCCTCCGTATTCCAAGTATAACTCTCTTTATGATAGTATGGCAATAAGCACTGCCTCATTGCCTGCGACCGTAATGGGTCCGCGGTCAAACGACCACCCCTCATCACTGTCAAACGCTCCCTAAAACACTTCAGCGAGCAGACCTTTCTAATTGACCTGGCCCGGGTATCCTGGATGGATATTGACCTCATTCCATCAGTAGAGGATGCCTGGATGTTCTTCAAAAGTGCTTTCCTCTCCATCTTAAATAAGCATGCCCCATTCAAAAAATTCAGAACAGATATAGGCCCTGGTTCACCCCAGCACAAAAACATCCTGTGGTGTACTGCATTAGCATTGAACAGCACCCCGCGATATGCAACTTTTCAGGGAAGTCAGGAACCAATATACACAATCAGTTAGGAAAGCAAAGGCTAGCTTTTTCAAACAGAAATTTGCATCCTGTAGCACTAACTCCAAAACGTTTTGGGACACTGTAAAGTCCATGGAGAATAAGAGCACCTCCTCCCAGCTACCCACTGCACTGAGGCTAGGAAACACTGTCACCACCGATAAATCTACGATAATCGAGAATTTCAATAAGCATTTTGCTACGGCTGGCCATGCTTTCCACCTGGCTACCCCTACCCCGACCACCAGCTCTGCACCCTCTGCTGCAACTTGCCCATGCTCCCCCGCTTCTCCTTCACCCAAATTCAGATAGCTGATGTCCTGAAAGAGCTGCAAAATTTGGACCCCTACAAATCAGCTGGGCTAGACAATCTGGACCCTTTCTTTCTAAAATTAGCCACCGAAATTGTCGCAACCCCTATTACTAGCCAGTTCAACCTCTCTTTCGTATCGTCTGAGATCCCCAGAGATTGGAAAGCTGCCGCGGTCATCCCCCTCTTCAAAGGGGGTGACACTCTAGATCCAAACTGTTACAGACCTATATCCATCCTGCCCTGCCTTTCGAAAGTATTTGAAAGCCAAGTTAACAAACAGATCACCGACCATTTCGAATCCCACCGTACCTTCTTCGCTATGCAATCTGGTTTCCGAGCTGGTCATGGGTGCACCTCAGCCACATTCAAGGTCCTAAACGATATAATAACTGTGATCGATAATAGACAGTACTGTGCAGCCGTCTTCATCGACTTGGCCAAGGCTTTTGACTCTGTCAATCACCGCATTCTTATTGGCAGACTAAATAGCCTTGGATTCTCAAATGACTGCCTCGCCTGGTTCACCAACTACTTCTCAGATAAAGTTAATTGTGTCAAATCGGAGGGCCTGTTGTCTTGACCTCTGGCAGTCTCTATGGGGTTGCCACAGGGTTCAATTCTCGAGCCGACTCTATTCTCTGTGTATATCAATGATGTCGCTCTTGCTGCTGGTGACTCTCAGATCCACCTCTACGCAGACGACACCATTTTGTATACATCTGGCCCTTCATTGGACACTGTGTTAACAAACCTCCAAACAAGCTTCAATGCCATACAACACTCCTTCCGTGGCCTCCAACTGCTCTTAAACGCTAGTAAAACTAAATGCATGCTCTTCAATCGAACACTGCTTGCACCCGCCCTCCCGACTAGAATCACTACTCTCAGCGGGTCTGACTCAGAATATGTGGACAACTACAAATACCTAGGTGTCTGGTTAGACCGTAAACTCTCCTTCCAGACTCACATTAAGCATCTCCAATCCAAAGTTTAATCTAAAATCGGCTTCCTATTTCGCAACATAGCCTCCTTCACTCATGCTGCTAAACATGTCCTCGTAAAACTGACTATCCTACCGATCCTTGACTTCGGCGATGTCATTTACAAAATAGCTTCCAAAACTCTACTCAGCAAATTGGATGTAGTCTATCACAGTGCCATCCGTTTTGTCACCAAAGCCCCATATACTACCCACCATTGTGACCTGTACGCTCTCGTTGGCTGGCCCTCACTACATATTTGTCGCCAAACCCTCCAGGTCATCTATAAATCACTTCTAGGCAAATCCCCGCCTTATCTTAGCTCATTGGTCACCATAGCAACACCCACCCGTAGTATGCGTTCCAGCAGGTACAGTTGAAGTCGGAAGTTTACATACACTTAGGTTGGAGTCATTAAAAGTACGTTTTCAACCACTTCACACATTTCTTGTTAACAAACTATAGTTTTGGCAAGTTGGTTAGGACATCTACTTTGTGCATGACACAAGTAATTTTTCCAACAATTGTTTACAGACAGATTATTTCACTTATAATTCACTGTATTTCTCACCCAATTCCAGTGGGTGAGAAGTTTACATACACTAAGTTGACTGCGGCTTTAAACAGCTTGGAAAATTCCAGAAAATGATGTCATGGCTTTAGATGCTTCTGATAGGCTAATTGACATCATCTGAGTCAATTGGAGGTGTACCTGTGGATGTATTTCAAGGCCTACCTTCAAACGCAGTGCTTCTTTGCTTAACATCATGGGAAAATCAAAAGAAATCAGGCAAGACCTCAGAAAAGAAATTGTAGACCTCCACAAGTCTGGTTCATCCTTGGGAGCAATTTCCAAACACCTGAAGGTACCACGTTCATCTGTACAAACAATAGTACGCAAGTATAAACACCATGGGACCACACAGCCGCCATACCGCTCAGGAAGGAGACGCGTTCTGTCTCCTAGAGATGAACGTACTTTGGTGCAAAAAGTGCAAATCAATACCAGAACAATAGCAAAGGACCTTGTGGAGATACTGGAGGAAACAGGTACAAAAGTATCTATATTCACTGTAAAACGAGTCCTATATCGACATAACCTGAAAGGCCGCTCAGCAAGGAAGAAGCCACTGCTCCAAAACCGCCATAAAAAAGACAGACTACGATTTGCAACTGCACATGGGGACAAAGATCGTACTTTTTGGAGAAATGTCCTCTGGTCGGATGAAACAAAAATATAACTGTTTGCCCATAATGACCATCGTTATGTTTGGAGGAAAAAGTGGAATGCTTGCAAGCCGAAGAACACCATCCCAACCGTGAAGCACGGGGGTGGCAGCATCATGCTGTGGGGGTGCTTTGCTGCAGGAGGGACTGGTGCACTTCACAAAATAGATGGCATCATGAGGAAGGAAGATTATGTGGATATATTGAAGCAACATCTCAAGACATCAGTCAGGAAGTCAAAGCTTGGTCGCAAATGGGTCTTCTAAATGGACCACAACCCCAAGCATACTTCCAAAGTTGTGGCAAAATGGCTTAAGGACAACAAAGTCAAGGTATTGGAGTGGCCATCACAAAGCCCTGACCTTAATCCTATAGAAAATTTGTGGGCAGAACTGAAAAAGCGTGTGCGAGCAAGGAGGCCTACAAACCTGACTCAGTTACACAAGCTCTGTCAGGAGGAATGGGCCAAAATTCACCCAACTTATTGTGGGAAGCTTGTGGAAGGCTACCTGAAACATTTGACCCAAGTTAAACAATTTAAAGGCAATGCTACCAAATACTAATTGAGTGAATGTAAACGTCTGACCCACTGGGAATGTGATGAAAGAAATAAAAGCTGAAATACATCATTC